CACGAATACCGAATTATTCGAGTTGGGAACAGTTCGATTTCGTCCGTCATTTTTACGAATGATTGCTTATCTACGGTTAAAAATAAGTTTAAGAAACTTTACTAAATACGACGATTAATCTATAAAACCAAAACACGGTAATAGTCTTAACTGCTAATGTCTGAGAGCAGAGTCAACAATACCTGGTTGAGTTTTCTATCAAAAGCTAAAACATGGAAAAAAAATTGTAGACCTATCAGTTTTCATGAAAGTAAACCTAAATAACGGTACAAAACAATTTGAAAATGTCAATATTATAAAATTTATGGGCAAATTTGAGACGACACGTAGCCTACTCTTACTTAATAAAAAATTATCGAATAACAAAGTTTGCACTTAAAAATTGTGAAATTTTGTACGGGTGATTTCCAGATTTTTCAAACCGTGTTGCAGAAGTGCCTTGTAGTACGAGGGATACCTGCATATACAGAATGCAATGTAGTTTTATGAACTTTGATATTAATAAACGTATACTAATGAAGACGTGAAGGTATTATTAATTTCTGAATTACATAGAAAAATAAAATTAGTTAGAATATGGAATATAATAATATAGTATAGTAGTATTTATTGCGTACAGGCCCATAAAGAATATTAAAGCTTTTACACTACTTTAAAATACACTGCTGGCCATTAAAATTTAAACACCAAGAAGGAAAGTAAATAAAAAAAAAATATTTATTGTACGTAAACAGTATGGCATGAAGACAAAATGATTAAATTTGCAAGCAGTTTGGGGGTTTACAGGGGTGCGAAATTAGTAGACACAGTTGTCACCCCTGGCAGCTAAAACGGCCCTTATCCGTTTAGCCATGGAGTCGAACTGGGCTTGGATGACAGAAACGGGCAACTCATTCCATGCTGCTTCAAGTCGATGTTACACTTCATCAACCGTATTAGCTGGAGAGGGGTGGCGGGCCAGTCTCTCAGCAACCCCCATGACCAGATGTTTTCAATTGGTGAGAGATCTGGAGACCGTGCAGGCCAGGGCAAAATCGAATACCCTCTGTATCGAGAAAGGTCAGAACATAATGTGCAACATGAGATCTTGCATTATCTTTTGGAAGATGGCATTTCGCAAGCCTCGAAGATAGGGCACAACCACTGGACGTAAGATGTCAGAAATGTACCGATCTGCACTCAAGTTACCGTCGATCCAAACTAGAGATGTGCATTTCGTGTACCCAATGGCTGCCCATATCATCACACCAGGTGCAGGGCCCCTATGTCGATACTGAATGCAAGCAGGTGACGAGTGGTCTCCTCAGAGCCTCCAGACACGTATACGGCCATCAGAATGCTGCACGCAGAACCGGGACTCGTCCGAAAAGACGACATTGTGCCACTTTTGTATCCAGTTTTGTCGTTGGGCATACCAGAGTTGCGTCTCTTTCTATGCTGCATTGTCAAGGGAAGCTGAAGTAATGGTCGCTATGCTGACAGTCAATGCTGCTGCAAACGTCATTGCACCATATGAGTAGATACTGGACATGCTGCAAACAAGCTCATTTCCTGACTAATGGTCCATGATGTGGTTGTACGGTTATGCATGGCCAACCTCTATATATGTCTGTATGTCTGTCCTCTCGGGCGTTAGTCATGGAAGGGCGTTGAGATCCTGCACGTCGTTCAGTAAGACCCTCAGCAACCCATCGATTCCATATTCGCATGACAGTAGTCGGATTCTGACGAGTGCGAGTGTCAATATCACGGAACAATAATCTACACACTCGATAGACAACGAACCTGCCTCTACTGAGTTCCGACACTTGCTGGTAAGCATTTCTTGTTCTTATTCGAGGCATAACATGATATTCTGAAGAAACCCCAACCTTACAAAGCAATTTCTGAATGAGAAATCAACCTCACAACTTTTCTTTTATGCAGTGCTTCAGATGTCGTTTGTCCCTCCTGCATCGTCTAAATGTGCTGAAATATTAATCATTTGCATATCCTAACCTCTTCTTCCTTTCATATGATTTTGACGTTCGTACGATCATTCCTTCCTGGTGTTGCAATTTTAATGGCCAGCAGTGTACATCTAAAAGAAAAGAAACCTTTGGAAACATTATCCTTACCAAAATCTATTACAGAAGTTATACCGACAAGAGATAGAAAATACGTTAACTTTAAAATACTATGATCGGCAATACAGTTTAAATACATTAAAATTAGAAGACTGAAACGAACTCTACAAAAATGTAGAATTCAGCAAGGGCAAAAATATTTGGAGGTTAAAAAGGAACAAACTGAGCACGAAAAGAAGTATGCATTTAATAAACATGAGAAATTTTAATATTATAAAATTCATGAGCGGAAAATTTGAGACGACACGTACTAATAATGATAGATATTGGATAAACTAATCAACANAAACATAAGGAATATCAGACTAATGTCTCTCTTCCATTTTGATGATTCTTACATTTGTATAGAACATCAACAATCAAAATAAAGTTCTTTTTCCCTCTGTATCTGCGAGAAAACGTTTTTAGAGAGTCATCCTTTAAATAAAATCAATATGCGTCTTCAAAATTCCGAAGAACAGTATAATTTATATTTTTAAAAATGTTATAATTAAAGAATAGGTCGTTAAAAATTTACGTTTAGTCAAACGAACTATTTTCAACGTTTATGGAACGTTTACAATCGTTCTATAATCGAACAAATTCGAACAAAACATTCGAAATTGAAAGCCACTTTCAACCACTTTCAGCCTCATATCTCCCACACCCTTATAGTCATTGAGACGCAACCACCCCTATGCACGAATGGAGACTTGGGGCTACCACCACATACAAACACCATTCACGTGCGATGTGTAGTTTTTGCGNATGGAATATAGTAAAATAAAAAATAGAACTAGTACAAACATTAACATACACAATAGCTTAATTGAATTAAAAAAGAAATTCCTTTTAGATGGATATCCGAACAGACTAATAAAAGCCTGGGAAAAGAAAATAAACAACAAAATGATTCCTGTAGAAGATAGAGAACACTTAAAAGTAAAATATATCATCTTCCCATACATTAAAGGATTGCATGAAGAAATTAATAGAGAAACAACAAAAATTAATGTTAAACTCGCACCGAATTATGAAAAACTATCATCTAGACTTAAAACTTGAAAATCTATACAAAAATGAAAACAACCACCAGAAGAAACAAAAAACATTGTATACCAAATTCCGTGTACCTGCAGTTCTACCAAATTTTACATTGGAGAAACAAAACGAAGAATGGAGGTAAGATTCAAAGAACACGTTGCATATTTAAAATATCTTAGAATCAACTCTGTTTTCCATAAGCATTGTACAACAAATAATTGTAATATTGATCAGAATACTGTAAAAATTCTACACAGAGAGAAGTAAACGTACAATAGAAAATTTAAAGAGAGCATGGAAATCCTTAAAAACAAAAATTGCATTAAAAAATTTGAGTATAAAAATAGATGAAAACTGGGTGAGGGTATTATAAACAGATTTTCAAAAAACTGAAAGTATTTTAAACTTGAGGATGGAAATAAATTAAAATTAATTTGACATGAAAAAAGTTACTGGTCAGTCATTCCGTCATTGGTTGACCATCANAGTCATTGAGACGCAACCACCCCTATGCACGAATGGAGACTTGGGGCTACCACCACATACAAACACCATTCACGTGCGATGTGTAGTTTTTGCGGAAAAGTGAAATATAGGGACATACATGTCCATTTTTATATATATACAGTATATAGGTAAGGTATAGATATAGATATAGATTATGTTTATACATGAAAAACAAACTTTTACATAAAACGTTTTATCGAAATATGTACACGACCATTATGCGCGTGTGCGTGTCTCTGAATAATATTGGCGTTAAAATACCTTTGAAAGAAAAAGTAAAAGAGCTAAAATAAAGTTTTCGTACGATAAACGCGACGAAATCTAACAAAATCTCAACTTAGATCGCGGGAAAGGTCAAAATTGACGTTTAAATAGATCCCAACCGGGGATGGCTGATCATAAGACTTACATTCTATTGTTTATCCGACTCCGTTTGCGCGACTCGTTAGACTTAGCAATGAGTGACCAACCATAAGAAAGCGAGAACGAGGATAATCGCAATGGGCGATCTAAAACAGAAAATAATAAAAATCCCGAATTTCATGGACGCGACGGCTTCTTTTACCAAAAATTCCAAGTGTTGAACCAATTGTTTGTGTATCTCGTGCATATCTTCGTCTCCGTTTTCCTTCTTCGGATCGATAGCTTCCTATAACAGGAAATAGACCGCATCGTCCTGGAGTCGTCGAAAAATCTCTCACTCGCGAACCATGCACACTCATTCAGTTGGAAATATCTTGGAAAAAAGAGGAAGACCCAGAGACTTTCATCTTCCAACATCGAGGAAATCTTGTAAGCTCCTTTCGTATCAAATAAACGGTTTCTAGTAACCGTAGAGAGTATCAGTGCCGATGACACTCACATACGACCCTCTGGCCCCCTTATCTATCTTGACAATTGTGCCTTCAATCTGTAATCACGCATCTGTGAAATTCATTGAAAAAATAAAAACAAAAATCGCCAGGAAACTATCATTATTGTGAAACCATTCTTTCTCTTAAATAACGACAAAATACAAAAATTAGTATCACAGTTTATTGAATCAAGAAGCTTGTAATAAAAAGAATACGTTAATCTTGGTTGATTTTTAAAATTTGTCCTCAAGCTCAACTCGTGGTCCCCTTAAATTTTCTCAAGACATTTTTTTATTTTAATGAAACTTTTAGCGGAGTGTTTAATTAACGCGAGTTCCTTTGCATTGCACAATTTTCTCCTATAGCAAACCACTCCTTTTTCAAAGACATTTCCTTCCATTTTCATGGATGCATATATTAATATTATTATTTAATATTTACATTATTTATTAAAAATATTAATGCAATTTTCAAAAATTTCTTTACTTACGGTAACTGCTCCAAAATCCATAATAATTCCTTTTGAGGTTCGTTATTGGGAACAAATTTTTTATAGTCTACAATCATCCATTGATTATTATATCTAAATAATTAAATACCGTTACAATTAATATTTTAAAATTATAGTATATATATTAATGCTTACGTTCCACTGTTAAATAAACTGAAAATGTCAGCCCAATTTCTTCCTCCAGTAGCTAATCTGTTAGCCACAAGATTACGAATCCATTCTAACACTACACGATCTGGTTTTATATATTGAAATGAACTGGTGTTTGTATTTGCGATTGACGTTTCCAATGCTACCTGAAGTGCAAAATATAAAATATTATATAAAATAAACAAAACAAGGGTTATAGAATAACACTTACTAATCCAGAAGATAAGATATAAAAGTCGTCTCCAGAAAAAATACATCCAGGATAAGAGGAAAAACTTGATATGTAACCAGGTATTATTCTGTTGTCTGTAAATTATTTTGTACTCAAGAAGTTATAAATTCATCGAGTAATAAGGGTTATCGATAGCTAGCAACAAACCTTTAGTGGCAAAAACTTTAAGATGCATCACATATTTCTTAAGAATACGCAACATTGTCGAATAATCATTCCATGCATCATGAGCTACATATAAATCCTTATATCCAGGCAAGAATTTAATTAAAGCAGAACAATGGGTATTTTCGGAAATATTCTGAAAACCTTTATTAAAAACAACTTCCAAATCTATTAGATCTCCGAAAAGATTGAACAACCTATAAAATTAGAAAATCAGTGCAATTTTATAGCATTCGATAAATTAAACAAGTAACTCTATTTTAATATCTTCAATAATTATGAAATAAACAAAAGTACAATTTTTTGGAATTATTATTAAACATTATTATATTTCAAACATAAGGAATATCAGACTAATGTCTCTCTTCCATTTTGATGATTCTTACATTTGTATAGAACATCAACAATCAAAATAAAGTTCTTTTTCCCTCTGTATCTGCGAGAAAACGTTTTTAGAGAGTCATCCTTTAAATAAAATCAATATGCGTCTTCAAAATTCCGAAGAACAGTATAATTTATATTTTTAAAAATGTTATAATTAAAGAATAGGTCGTTAAAAATGTATTTTATTACTCATTATAAGAAGCGTATTACTCATTGAAACAGGATAAGTATATAAACAAAAATTACTGTTTGATAGGCGCAAGTTTGATAGTAGTTTCACTCTCTAAAAACGTTTGTTGTTTTTTCTTTTCCGATAGAAAAAAACGTGTCTCACCGTAGATATTCTACGACATATATAAAAATCATGGAATTCCAAGAAAGTCACTTGAATGATTTGCGTTGTATGAAAAGTATTAAAATCTATGTTATTCTAAATCATTTTTTCCATAAAATTAATATTATTTTAATTTTTAAAATATCATTTATCTCCAGTACGTTGAATATTTAGGATGTTTTTTTTACTTTTGATAAAATTGGTTAAAAGTTTCAAATTAAAAAAAAATAATCTTTTACTTCTACTGTAAATTCTGTATAAAAATTATTTCACAAGAGATTATTTAAAAGAAAAGGAAATAACTCTATAAATAAANGGTGGTTTTGGCTAATTTCTTTCGTAATTTTCTGACCTTTTTTTGTTGAGTAGATAAGCTATCTGTCCACCATACTGTGTCCCTTTGTTTAGTTTTAGTGATTGTAGTTGATAATCGTTTTGCTTCTTGCATTGCCTTCGTGATATGATCGGTGTATTGATTAATACTTTCCTCGTCCTCAATTCCGTTGAATTTGTAATTTCTCCAGTTTATTGCAAATATTTCTTTGTAAAGTTCCCAGTTAGTATATTTCTTATAGTGATTGATGTAATTTTCGTTGTTTGTTATACCTGAAAGTTCAGCATAAATGTACCTATGATCACTTAGAGATTCCCGCAGAAGTGTTTCACAAGTCGTAACATTGCCACATTTATTAACTGGAACAAGAAAGACGTCAGTCCAACCTTCTGCATAGACGGTATAAAAGGTAGGATGATCAGTAGTGTTTGCTGAGTATAGGTTATATCTGTCCATTAAATCACTTAACAGGCGTCCTCTATGGTCTTCTTTATAATGATACCAAATTGGAGATTTCGCATTTGCGTCTCCCACCAGAATGAAGTTGTCGCTGTTAAGGCTTTTGATTATATCTTGTAGTTCTTCAATACAATTATCATCATCATCATCAGGGGGAAAATATATACTAAGAATATAAAGTTGTGGCTGTTGTTGGATGGCAATAGTAGTTATTCTCTGTGTAGTTAAATCTGGAATTAAAGCAGCATCTAGGTTGTTGTCTCTCACTATTATACCACTTTTCGGTTTTTCTCCGTTTCTTGTAGTTAATACTCTCCATCCTCCGAAGCTTACTATTTTATTGTTCAAAGTATAAGGTTCTTGTATTATTAATAGGTTTACATCTAAGTCATTGGCCGTCTTTATTGCGAGTGAGCTTGCCGCTTTACTGTGTTGCATATTTATCTGTAAAATACGCAGATGTGAAGAGTTTACATCGTAGTTACTATTGATTGACAGAGTTGAATTATCAGAAGCATTGTCGTTACTATTTTGTTTATTTCTTTGCATAGTAGTGCCTTTGGGTAACCGAGTGATTATTTGTTTGTTTCTATATTCCATAGTCAATTCTTTTTATGATCTGTGTTTTCAGTTTTATTAGCACTGGGCATTCAGCACTGAATGCGTTGTGATTCGTCGGTAGTTTCTTTTCCGGCGGGAGGTTCCTGTTAGTTAATTTGCAATTATGACAAGATGGGATGGTGTTTGTTAATTGACATTCTTTGAAGCGATGACCTCTTGAGCAGTGACTACACCTCTGCTGCTCGGTACAATCACGTGCCATATGTCCGAAACCACAACATCTGTAGCAGCGTCTCACTGGTACAAAGTCATCCACTCTTATTGTGGTCCAAGCCATCGATATTGTCTTGTGAGCTATCAGTATATTTCTTATGCTCGGAGTTACAGAGATTACAACGTGATGACAGTTCTCCTTTGTTTTCTTTCCTTTGATAACTGTGTTAATGGTACATTTTTCTTCTATGTTATCTTTTTCCAGACCCCTCCAAATGTCATTTTGTCTGGTCATTACTTCTATTATCTCCTCTTCAGGGATACACTGTGGGACGTTTAGTAATATTACCCTTGGTCGTTTGCCTCCCGATGTTCTACATTTAATCTTGTCTTTTATTTCTTGAATCTTTCCTATTTCCTCTTTTAGTTTCTTCCCATCTTCTTCACTCCCGACCCTTATGCACACACCATTGTCTCTTATTAATTTAACTTCTTTGATTTTAACCCTTATTTTGTGTGGCTGAATTTTATCAAAAATCTGCTCTGTGATCTCTTTTATGTCTGTTCGCGCACCTTCTTCTTCATCACTTGGGTACACCAGTACAGCGCTATTGCCTCCTTGTTCACCATTGTTATTAATGGTTTTCGTCGTATTGCTTGGTTTCAAGTTGGATTTTGTTACTTCAGCGTAAGTAAGGTGCCCAGCAAATTGGTTGGGTTGAGAGTTCTTGATCTTTATTTCATTCATTGTTTCTAATAAGTTAGGAAGTATATTGTTTTGTTCCTCTCTTTCTACACGATATGCTGATACAATTCCGTACATTTGATGCACCGACGCAAAAAGCTGCGTCACCTTGTCCTTAATTTCTTTACGTTCTCTTGTTTTAATGTTTCTATGACACGATTCAGGTAAGAGATCTAGAATACGTCTCATTTGAGTTCTTGCATCTTTAAGGATTTTACTCTCAATTGTACAGGGCGATGTATCATTACCTAAGGTTTCATCGGAAATCCTCGGTTGTGTGCCCTTTGCCATTAAATTTCTTAATACCCTTGTTTCTCCCATGGTGGTATCCATAATAAACCCAATAAGGTAATCAAAATACACACCCAACGTCAATGAATACCGAGTCAATAAAACAATAATTATAACTATGGAAATACTTAAACTAGACCTCAAATACTCCTCGAAAGCGAAATACAATACTAACCTTAAGAAGAAGTTTTACCAACAAAACCCACAAAATAAACGTATGTTAAATTAATTTAATTACAGTATATCCTAAAAACAGTCACCCCTACTCTGAGGTGAATGAAATAGTGTCCGTCTAAAAAAAAATAAATTTAAAACGACCGTTGAGAATAAACAACCAAAACAGAAGCGACCGTTAAAATCCGTTGACAGTTAAACCGTTATGTTTAAATTTATCCGTAGCTAACAATTATAAAAATTTAAACCGGAATATCTCCCCAAAAAATAAACCCAGCAACCCCAAATTTATACCAGATATAGATAATAGTAAGCTAAATAAAACCCCTAATTTCCGTCCCCCTCTGACTTATACCCCACCCGTTAGATCTATCCGAAAAACGCGAATTTCAAGTCCCCCTAGCTCCTCCCCTAATTGTCCTAGCCGAAATTTTAAATGGTATACGAACCACCTCTGTTAGCTCTTTCGAACGATGTGTCTGATGTAAGTGTGTATCCAAAATTCCCTCCAAAATTGCGATTCAAATCGAGAGCACAAAATGACACAGCCTATTCTGACCAAGTTTTTTCCCTGATCTGCCTGGATTATTCTTAATCTGAGCAGTATTTATATTATTAAGAAAGATATCCTGCTGAGCCCGAAAATGGCGCCTCGTCTTGGCCTCGTGTAATACGGGTGCTTCCGAAGGATGCCGAGAGAATATGCTAATTAGCACAGTACTACGCAGCAAAAGCAAAGGGATGATATAAGGAGAGATATTAAGGAAATACAAGGAGAAGATACATCTGTTTGAGCTAAATGGTTTTATTGGACTTTATCAAGGAAAAATAAGTACGTGATTTTCATTCTATGAAGTTTATCATATTGGATTAACTTATTGTGAATATTTAACAAATGGCAGAATTTGAAATTGAAATTTGCTTCCAACCCCTGTGGTTTAGAAGGATACAAAAGAACACTAAAAACACGAGTACTAAATTGCAATAACAGTTATGTTATTTAGTTACAGGTTCGTATAAATAGTACCGTGTAAAAAAAAAACCTAGTTAAGAAGCCTTTTTTAAAAACAAATAGGTGGACATAAAATTCTGTAATAGCAGTATATCCATACTTCAAATGTGTTAATTATGACTGTCCAAAGTGAGGAATACGCGAAGGTATATTAATAGTGTGTATATACAGATTTATGTATAATATGCTATAATAATCACAATTGTAATTACGGGTTTAAAGAAAAAATTTATCTGTTTAAATAGATAGAAAAGTATAATAATCGTGTAAGTCATATACATATTACGTATATAATAGCGTCTGGTCCGAAAATATTGTAATCTAAAGGTATGTTTTGTATATAAAAAAAACTATACCAGTTATATGTATTTATTGACCTTTTGTGAACTATGTGTGTTTTTATAACTTTTTGGTTGACTGAGGAGAAGCAATTTGAGCCTGAAACGCGTATCCAAAAACGCGTATCAACTGAATTGGAAATAAAGATATGAAGGAATGTCAAGTGATCGATGTTTGATAGAAGCTTTAATGTGTTTCTTAATGTCATCACAAACTCTTTTCATTCCTTTGTTCTATCTTCGAATTGCTATCCACGATTGTCCAACTTCATTCTGAATTCATTCTACAACATGGATTATGTTTCTTTAATCTTTTGTAATATGTAAGAAAAATCTGCTTTTATGTGGTTAGTTTTTTTGTATAATTTACTCTTTGAGATATAGATTTACTATATTTATGCATTAACACTGCTATTCCTATCAATACCACTGTATCAAAGAAAGAATGCTGCTTCTATTTTCATAAAAATGCGATATAAGATCTTCATCTCTGTTACTTTAATATACGTAAAACTGTCCGAAAATATCTCACATTAATAAGTATGACCGTAATTTTAAATTTAACATATTAATGAAATGTTTAATCTATCAATAATATTGTTATCGAACTGTATAGGAAGTAATGTTGAATTATAATGTGCTTTAACAACTTGTAAACATTACTTGATTCATTCAATTAGTATTGATACGCATTTTCATTGATGATAACTTTAAAAATAAACTTACATAACTCCCATAAAATCTGGTCTAGTATCAGGTAGAGATGGAGTTCCTTCATATCCATCTTGTAAGCCTTTCACTTGCTTCAATATTAATGCAACCTAAAATAAGAATTTCGACATACATGAATAAAAATACTATATATAAAACTTTTAATATTTTAATATTGAAATTTACTAACGTGATTCCAGTAGGAAGTTTTGTTTTCCTGAATATTTTTATTCATGAAATCCATGTTTATTTGTAAGAAAGTCTTAAGTTTATCGCAGTATTCTTCGTTTTTACAATAGTTTAGATACAAATTGTTCCAGTGTTTAGAGATGAGATCAGCTGTTAAATATCCTTCGACCAAACCTGCAGCATAAGCTTGGAAAGAATCCGAATACGATGGATCGGTGTGAACTTCCAAATACGACCATCTGCAAAAATAAGTTTAACAATAATCGTTTCTTTTTGTAAATTATAGATGCTTAATAATTAATAAAACATTTAGTTTTACAGGAAAGTTATGCGTTAAAATATATCCATTGTGTTTTATATAAACCTTTCACGTAAGAATCTCATTAAATTCATTGAATAGGTATATACTATATATAATACAAATCGTTAATGGTAAGAATCCATATATTCAAATTTCATTTAGTATAATTATTTCTGATATATGATTGTAAATACCAACCGTTTTAATATAAAAATTGAAAGTACACATTTCGCATCATAATGCAACATAAATTTTGTCAATTAATTATTAACAATTTCACAATTTAAAGAAATATGACATTGTCAAGTAAGGAAGTTGTTCAAAAGACAATAATTTGGTTTTCCGCCTGGAAGGATCGGTTTTTCCGGAGGGGATCGATTCAGCGGGAGGCATTTTAGCAGATTCGGCAGGAGTCCCAAACGGGCAGACCTGAACGGACGCTACTGGCCCAGCTTCGGATTGGACAATCGTTTGGTCTGTAGAATCCCTTGAAAGGAGGGACGACGACCCAAAAAGGAAGTTGTTTCATCTGGATCGCAACAGAGGATAAAGGCAAAAATAGTACAGCAAGAACCTCGTAGGGACTTCAAAAAAAAAAAAAAAAAAAAGCTGCTGTCGGACTGAAAAGANATCATCCATTGATTATTATATCTAAATAATTAAATACCGTTACAATTAATATTTTAAAATTATAGTATATATATTAATGCTTACGTTCCACTGTTAAATAAACTGAAAATGTCAGCCCAATTTCTTCCTCCAGTAGCTAATCTGTTAGCCACAAGATTACGAATCCATTCTAACACTACACGATCTGGTTTTATATATTGAAATGAACTGGTGTTTGTATTTGCGATTGACGTTTCCAATGCTACCTGAAGTGCAAAATATAAAATATTATATAAAATAAACAAAACAAGGGTTATAGAATAACACTTACTAATCCAGAAGATAAGATATAAAAGTCGTCTCCAGAAAAAATACATCCAGGATAAGAGGAAAAACTTGATATGTAACCAGGTATTATTCTGTTGTCTGTAAATTATTTTGTACTCAAGAAGTTATAAATTCATCGAGTAATAAGGGTTATCGATAGCTAGCAACAAACCTTTAGTGGCAAAAACTTTAAGATGCATCACATATTTCTTAAGAATACGCAACATTGTCGAATAATCATTCCATGCATCATGAGCTACATATAAATCCTTATATCCAGGCAAGAATTTAATTAAAGCAGAACAATGGGTATTTTCGGAAATATTCTGAAAACCTTTATTAAAAACAACTTCCAAATCTATTAGATCTCCGAAAAGATTGAACAACCTATAAAATTAGAAAATCAGTGCAATTTTATAGCATTCGATAAATTAAACAAGTAACTCTATTTTAATATCTTCAATAATTATGAAATAAACAAAAGTACAATTTTTTGGAATTATTATTAAACATTATTATATTTCAAACATAAGGAATATCAGACTAATGTCTCTCTTCCATTTTGATGATTCTTACATTTGTATAGAACATCAACAATCAAAATAAAGTTCTTTTTCCCTCTGTATCTGCGAGAAAACGTTTTTAGAGAGTCATCCTTTAAATAAAATCAATATGCGTCTTCAAAATTCCGAAGAACAGTATAATTTATATTTTTAAAAATGTTATAATTAAAGAATAGGTCGTTAAAAATGTATTTTATTACTCATTATAAGAAGCGTATTACTCATTGAAACAGGATAAGTATATAAACAAAAATTACTGTTTGATAGGCGCAAGTTTGATAGTAGTTTCACTCTCTAAAAACGTTTGTTGTTTTTTCTTTTCCGATAGAAAAAAACGTGTCTCACCGTAGATATTCTACGACATATATAAAAATCATGGAATTCCAAGAAAGTCACTTGAATGATTTGCGTTGTATGAAAAGTATTGAAATCTATGTTATTCTAAATCATTTTTTCCATAAAATTAATATTATTTTAATTTTTAAAATATCATTTATCTCCAGTAAGAAATAGAGAATTTAATGTAACGAATTAAATATATTTTATAAATAAAAGAGTACTCACGGAATATTATATGATGACCAAAACCCTTGTTGAATAAGAACATTTGTTTGATCTTTGCTCTCAATGTAATTTCTACAGAATTAAATCGATATTTCAGTAATTAAAGATTTAAGATTACAAATTGGAAAAATTAAATAATTTTTCGTAAATTTCTCATATATACAGTTTATTTTAATCTACTGGAATAACTCATAAAATACGCATCCTGCGAAAAAAATCATTTAACTTAACTAAAATGCAAGGCTGTGGAGTCGGAGTCGAAGTCGGAGTCGTGGAGTTTTGGTGTTTTAGCCGGAGTCGTAGTCGTAGTAGGAGTCGGATGGTAAGGAAGAGTCGGAGTCGGAGTTGGAGTCGGTAGATTTTTACGCGACTCCACAGCCCTGCTAAAATGTTAAGTTTGAATCTGATGGCGCCACAATCGGTGAAAACGGGATCAATTTTTTAAATGACAACCCCCGTTTTTATTGAATACTAGCTGCAAGGACCCGCTTCGCTGGGTTTTTATTCATTCGTACATTTGTATGTAATATAGTTATTTTATATATATAAAAGACTGTTTTTCTAAGTAATCTAGAATCTAGCTGCAAGGACCCGCTTCGCTGGGCAAAAAGTAACGATAGTGAAGATTAAGATAATTACATTATAGCTAATCTTACCCGTTTTCACAGAATGCAAGAATTAGGTCCCCNGCTTTGTGCAGTCATTGTGTGTGTTGTTGAGTTATTGAAAAACAATCAATGCGAGAAACAAAGTTCCAATTGCTCCAAAGTGGCACCCAAATGTTGCTATAGTCAACCAAAATACAAATACTGTACATTCAATAATAACGTAATTGCCTACTTCAGAAAAGTTTTAAAAAGCAGACAAAAACACACAGCACTGGACGAGTTCTTCATTAAATCGAGCACTACTGAATCATCAACAAAACAGACTCCATGATCATAATTGGAATTGCCTAATGTTTTAATTGATATGTCTTCTTCTAAACAATAATACTGTTCTTCCCCTTCTACCACTATATCTTTATTGTACTAAATAAATACAGTAAAGTTTTAAAAACAACATAATTTTTATTCTTGTATCTTTTTTACAGGATGGGAATGGATTAATTGAATATCAGTTATTTATTATGAGAAAAACTATTTCTATATTCATCATATTCCATATTCATTAGGCCCTTGGAAACAGATTAATGACAAATATAGAGGTTCCACTGTATATGCAATATGTAATATTCATTACATATTGACTATATACAATAACTTCATCATCATCAGAAATTTATTTTTCAATGTCGGAATTTTCTGCAAGTTTTTCCACTATATCATTTTCAGATTATATAATCAACTTTTTATCATCTGACTGAAGTAATCTGCTGTAATTCTTAAACATCTTCTCATTGTCAGTTCAATATGCAATATTTTCCATTTTCAGACAGAAAACTGAAAAACATCTTTAAAAAAAATTAACAAAATACTCTAGTGGATCATGGTAACTGTCACATACAAATTAAGGTAGTATTGAGAAAAACAGAAAAATATGCAGTTTTACCCTAAAAAAAAAAAAAAAAAAAAAAAGCTGCTGTCGGACTGAAAAGAAGAGTTTCGGAAAGAGTTTAAAACAAAAGAACTCTTTCTGCCCTGTGGCACTAAGAGGGCCTCTTTTTGCAAGCCCATTATGGTTCGGCCAGGCCTACAATGAGGCTGCCGCGTGGTGAGGGACGGGGCTCGACATATCTGAACGGACCAACCCCCCGAAAAATTCCTGGGGATTTTTCGACCCGTTCGGATTCGTACCCTGGTCCCCCAGAGCAGTGGGTTACCACCTTGACCGCGCGGCCATCCGGCCGCCATATACAAGGTATTGTACTATACAGTAATGAAGCACACCAGTAGGATGAGACATCCTTCGTAGTTGTCTCATTTTGTAGTTCAGTAGTTCAATCTTTCAAGCTACAGAGAAATACACAACAAACGTTCATTCTTTTATATTTGGACCATTCAATTTACGTACTCATGGGAACAAAATACGGTCTGCCATGTCGACTGATAAAAATTAGAGAGTTTTCTTACAGGCACACCTTTGAAAAAGTATTATATGTTCTTATATATTTATAATATACCAAGATTCATATTTTTCCAATAGTGACCTCGACTCACAGTCACTGTCGATCTCTCTCCGTTCGTCCTACCAGCAGCAAAAGCCTTATTGAATATTAATATAGTGTTGTTAGGATCATCCTACTTGGGCAGCTGTCTTGCTGGTTGCACCTACCAGCAGAAGGGCTTGCTGTCCATTCTATCATTAGAATGTAAACTACGATCAGATTATTAAGAAGCCAATCACATCTTCCGATACAACGTTAGAAAGAGTTAAGAAGTTTAAATTCAATTTAAAAATGTTAGTGAAATTGTGTTTTCTATTGGAAACATTAATAAATGAGTTCTATGTTATATAAGAATCGTTGGAAACGGTACATTAACTGCTATTTAAGAAAAGCTAATGAAACCAACAATTAGTAATTCACAAATACTGAAGAGGAATATTTCATATTTATGGAAAAGATCGGCTTAAAGTATTTGTTCAAACTGGTGTTATTTAGGAGAACGCTATATCAAGGCTTCATTACATTAGTTTAATATCAGTAATCATAATTCTAGATAAATAATAAGTATCAATATTAATTAAAAAACCTGAATCAATTCTAAAATTTTACTTACCCTGTTGTAAATATTCCATCTTCAAAACTAGCCCAAGCTACTGAATTATTGATGATAAAATCTTTAATAACAAATTTTCTTGCTCCTTCATCCCAAATAATTGATGCAGTTTTTTCATTTAAACATGACACAAATACAGGTAGCAATGCAGCGAATATCATCCCCTTCATTTTATCTTCAAAGTAAACAGTATATAAATATATTTTAAAACTTATCGAGATCTACATTAAAAATTATCTAACACGTAAGTAAATATTAATCTATGTAAGTAATTTCTAATACTTTCTGGAAACGAAAGAAGTTAATATTATCGATGCATTGTAAAAGAAAGTAGCCTATAGTCTGCTTTATGTCCAAATTTCTTAATGTTTTGTTATAATATTAATAAATAATTGTGCAAATTTCAAATTGTAATGATAATAAGATTTCGATTGAGTATCATTAAAGTTGTTAAAACATTGTGAATACGTAATAAAATCGTTCGGAATTTCATGACATCTTAAGGAATGTCCTTTAAGATTGATGAAACAATCTTAAGGACATTCGTATCTTTAATCAGTCTTTAATAACATTGTACATTGAGTGTTGAACACAAGATTGTGTTATTGTGTTACACACCACAAAAAAACATTGTACATTGGTTAAAGATAGGATTTAAACACGAGCAATACAGCATTGAGCATAATTCTGTTAATGAGATTTTGCTTTATCTATAGATAAGCAGTTGTACGAGATCAAATTAGGAAAAATTTGTCAGATCATTGGGGAATAATGGCAGGATAATATTTTTTCACTTCATTTCGTTCCTTTCACGTTTTAAATCGGAGACATGGGTTCTGAAATAAGGAATGAAATCCGGTTAAAAGAATTTTGAATAAATGCCCTTTTACTTTCCCGGCTGTTATGTATACATAACAAGGAAAAGTATTTGAACTGTGTCAAATTTGACCCTCCGAGTTTTTTTGAAAATCTCCACGGTTAGAAACTCCCTGAACTCCAAAAAATGAAAAAAAATCCACGGAATTTTTTTGCCGGGTTTGTGTATGTAGGTGTGTTGGCGACTATTTCGCTTAATATCTCTGAACGGGGTGAAGATAGAGAAACTAAATTTGGCATGTAGCTTGTATGCAAGGAACATTCATGCTATTAAATTTTGGTGGTATTAAGGCGATGGAGAAATAGATGGTGGTTGTGAGTCATATCTCGCAAGAGTCAGACTTAATGAAGATTTTACTTGTGGTTAGTATTTACAAGGTTTTTATGAAACTTATCTCTACCCACAAAATTATTTTTTGCTATTTTGTAATAATTAAAAATATATAAAATTTTTATAACATAATCTCATAACTAAAATTGTAGCGCCATTTGTTATGTATTATTAATCAAACTAAATATGTTATTTTTAAAATATAATTTCATAAAAGCCGGCAAAGTTACGCAACTCGTTGTTAGATTTTTTTCTTTATTCCTTTCTAGAAACATTAAAAATATTTCCTGTCTAGAAGCAGTCAGACAGTTGTTTCGATTTCACAATATTGAATGTCATTCTACGTTTCTCATTTTTAATTTCATCTCGACAAATATCGAATGAAGTGTATTTCATATTGAGGCTATTTGTAAGGTATTTTGTAAGACATTTTTCAGAAATCTATAAACTGAAGAATTTTAATTATCATACTAAAATAAAAATTCGGAGAGAAATATATTACAAATATTGAAAACTCAATTAATCAATATATTACTCAGTATCATGAAATACTTTGAATAATGTAACGTAGCCTATACATTATTAACATCAAGTACAGTAATATAATTCGCACAGAATTCGCTTAATGTATTCACGTTTAATTTGGTATTTCTTATCTTTACTCCATGAACATTAATTTCCATTAGACTGCAATTTGAAAAAAATTGCCCACTGTCGTCCGTCCAGCCGTCTGTCTGTCTTCCTTAATTGAGAACGGAGATAGATGGATGAAAGAGGAGATCAGATGTGGAAACCTTAGGGGCAGGAGGCGCAGATTAACTATATATTCCGATGAAAACTGAAATCATGTTACTTCAATTCAAATATTTTTCCCTGGAAGGTGTTAAATAGATGAATATATGATCTGCACGACTCTATTGTTAAAGGAAAAGTATGATGTACAGAAGCAAGCGACTACTAATTTGAAGTGGAGAGTATATAAATTGAATTAATCTATATCTATTTCTATATCTATATATCTATATATATATATATAAATGGACATGTATGTCCGTATATTTCACTTTTTCGCCAAAACTACACATCGCACGTGAATGGTATTTGTATGTGATAGTAGCCGCAAGTCTCCATTCGTGCATAGGGGTGGTTGCGTCTCGATAGCTATAAGGGTGCGGGAGATATGAGGCTAAAAGTAGTTGAAAGTGGCTTTCTATTTCGAATGTTTTGTTCGATTTGTTCGAATTAAATTCGAACATAAAATTCGAATATTGGTTCGATTATAGAACGATTGTAAACGTTCCAGAAACGTTGAAAATAGTTCGTTTGACTTGACGTAAACAGAAGACGTTCAGAAATTGAATCGGAACCAGGTCTCTAATTAGACTGGAAACGGGGGACCTAATTCTTGCATTCTGTGAAAACAGGTAAGATTGGCTATAATGTAATTATCTTAATCTTCACTATCGTTGCTTTTTGCCCACAAATAAAAACCCAGCAAAGCGGGTCCTTGCAGCTAGTTAAAAATATAATTAAAAACTGCAGCTTGGCATTGTGAAAATGTCACAATAAATAATTGTTCGTTAGTTATAATTATCTCAAAGAAAATATCTCTATTTGAGACATATGTATCACATTAATTAAAAAGTTTTAAATTATATAGAAATTAAATTTCATAAATATAAACAAATACTAAATTCTCTACGGCGAATTATAAAATAACTTATTTTTCAAACTTAATAAATAAATTTTAAGTGATTTAAGTTTGAAAATACATTGTCAAATAATTGAAGCATTTTTAATTTATTTTTTCTCTAAAGAATATAAAATATTAAGTTTATTAAATGAAATAATATTTGATTATTATTTCATTACAAACTTGGACAGTTAATAATAATTAGGATTTCTTTCAAAATGATTTTTTGAAAGACCTTCGTAACAAATCTGCAATATTTAAAATTAACGTATACGAAATGATGACATATACAAAAATACATTATATATGTATACCCGTACCTGTGTACCTATGCATACATGTAGAAGACGTTTTATTTTATACTTTATTCTATTTTATTTTTGACACATTTATTTAAACTACCATAATGTGTATTCCATTAATATTGTTTTAAAGGTTAAATATTTATGCAGAAAATAAAATAATGTGAAAGAATTTTAAGAATTTTATACATTATGCATGTAGTTTGTGTAAACATTAAATGAATTGTGACTTAAATATATTGAAACAGAATATAAACGCTATATTATTGTTATTATAAGTACTGCTGATATAAATGTACACAGTATATTCCTTTGTAATTGTATTTTCTTTTTCAGACAAACAGCATTATCATTAACGCTTATTTGAAGAAAGTTAATTACGTAATATCTAATATTTCCTTAATTAAATAATACCTAAATCTAAGAATTAGCTACAGTATTTTGCTAATAAAAATTTAATACTTGAACTATTTATTTCCAGAATGTTTTTCAATGTTAATTACTTTTCATTCATATAAAATAAAATAGAATAAAAAATATTTTATGGAGTACAGTGAAAAATTGACATGTAATCATTTTAGTAGATTTTAAATATATAAAATTACCATATGTTGTAGCGAAAGTTTAATACGAATAGAGTTGTCAATAGTTACGTATAATACTGGATAGCATATAAACTTCTCTAAGACGAATTTTAAACAGATAGTATACAAACTGAGTAAAATTACTACATTGTATTTAGTATTAACAATTACTAATTGATTTGCAATTAATAGCTTAAAACTACTAAACACGAATTAAAAGCAACTAATCCTAATTATTATTGGCATTTTGCTTTTGAAAATCGGATCTATCACTATTTCCATATCAAGTCACGAAACGCATTAACTGTAAACTTTTATCCTGTATATATATATAATATTTTAAAATAAAAATCATTTTTATAAATAATAAATAGAAACTATTTATATTAAATTTAACAGATATTTCATTAAAAAATATTATAAATGCATAAAAAAATTATTGTATCTATGACATTACCTTATACGAGTTGTATTAGCTCGAGTCTAAAACTTAATGTAGAGATTAAATCACCGGTGAAAAGCGGAAAACCAAAGCGAACATTGCGTCAGTAATGACGTCGTTTACGATGATTTTTCTGTTTTTGGATCATTTTAGAATTCTAGCGTGTTCAACATTTTCGGGTTCGGAATTCTCGACGAAAACTGCGAGGTTTCTACTCTGTAACTGTAACTTCGAAGAACGTACTGTACTTTATACTATTATAATTATTATAGTTTGTTTTATTTTTTCTTGTTTTTTTCAGTCAATAAATACACAAGTAAGAAAACAATTCCTTGTTATCGACTGTCATTTTGTTATAATGATGTTTGCTTGTGTTGAATAGGATTGGCTACTTATTCTCTGATCTTGTTTTTTGAAACGGCACGAAATCAGAGAATATAAATAGTTTCTGTGTTCATTTTTCCTTTTTCCTAGAGAATGTTTGTGAGAACCTAGCTTAAAGTGGGATGCGATGATATCCTCCGTGTTTTAACGTTACACAATAATAAACTAAAATATCCTACAGGTTCATATTAATTTATTTTTATCTGTATTAGTTTTGTTAAAATATACAAAATAATTTGAATATTTAATTGTTTGCATTCACTTTTAATTAAAATTTAGGGACGCAACAGGAATTTCAAGAATTCAAATGAATCTTTTTAGGTTATGATTTTCAACTCTTTTGAGCTCGTAACACGCTGAAAAGAATTGAGCGTGTCACATGCCGAGATGCAATTTTTAATCATACTTTTAATTAATTTAATTTAAAATATATGCTCTCCACCTCAAATTAGTAGTGGTTTGCCCCTGTACATTATACTCTTTCTTTAACAATAGAGTCATGCCAGTCATCTAACTCTCTTTGGGAGAAATTATTTAAATTAAAATAAACTAACTCTCAGTCCAAACCGGTAGTTCGTATATAGTTAGTTGGGCTTCTTGCCCCTAAGCTTTATATATCCGGTCTCGTATTTCATCTATCTAACTCCGTTCTCGAGATTAAAGAAAGAAAGTCGGACGGACGAATGGCAGTGGGAATTTACAGGGCTACAATTTTTTTCAAATTGCAGCCCGATAACATTAATTTTAAGAAAATGAGTTTAAAATCGACAAAAAATATCTTTCGAAATAAACGGAGGCATGTAAAATGAACCGTGTACCGCCACGCACCAGTTTAAACTCTGTCTAGATACATAAAACTATATTGCCTCATTTATTTATTGATACCAAACGTTTTAGCAGCAGACTTCGTTTTATAATTTTATGTACAGGAAATCTTCGTTAGTTTGGAACGAAATAACCGCAACTTCGAATTATCCAGTTTCGAATTATCCTAGTTCAAATTAACGAAGATTTCCTGTATATGTTTTCCTTTTTTTTTACATATTTTATTGTTGATCTGTTCTTAACATTTGAATTTTATTAATTAAAAATATTTCAATCCTGTTTAAAATTTATTTTTTACTTTAATTCAAACATTACGTAATTTTCCGATTTCAACTACTTTCTTGATCATATTTCATGAAATATTATTTGCCTTGGGTAATATGTTGATGTGTCAACTAGAATTATTTTTTATATACACGTATTTAAATCACTCCCTATTTGAATTTACAGAAATTTCTTTACGTTTTTAAAAATTTATCATGTCGAATCTATCGCTGCTTTCAAATATTGAGAACTTTACAAGTTCTTGTTTCTTGATGATTTCTTCAGCTTTTACTTTTCCAATTTTGAATATTTCTGCTAATTTTCTTATTTTCCACTTTTTCCTTTCTTTTACATTAGAATTCCGATTATCTGGGATAATGTAGACCGATGGACAGTAACTTACATGGAAATCCTTTTTAACAGTTTATGAAAAACTCAGCAACGAGTTGCTTAACTTTCCCGGTAACTTTGGTAAAGCCATCTGTTATCATATTGTATTATTAATTTTAGTAGATTTTAAATATATAAAATTACCATATGTTGTAGCGAAAGTTTAATACGAATAGAGTTGTCAATAGTTACGTATAATACTGGATGAGATATTANGCCATCTGTTATCATATTGTATTATTAAAAATATAAAATATTTTTAATAATACAATATGATAAAACTATTATAAAATGGCAAAAAGTTTAATTTTTAAGGTAGGGATGGGTTTTATAAAAAATTGTGAATGTTAATAACGAGTAAAATCGTCATTAAGTCCGACTCTACTGAAGATACACACGACTCCCTTTATTTCCAAATTCCGTCGACTTTTAACCACCAAAATTTGATAGCATCAATCTCCTTAATAAAGAAACCGCCTTGTAAAATTTCAGAAATTTTTTTAACAAAAAATTATTAAGCTTCAAAAGACAGTAAACAAAATCGTGCCCCAAACACACACTAACATCCATACATACAGTAAAAAACCCGAATTTTTTGCACTTCTCGACATTTCAAGGTCCCGAGTCCAAAAATACAAAATTCTTGGTGGTCATTTTTTGACCGATCGCCATACTTCCCCTCTGTTACGTATAACAGTCGGAAAAAAAAAATACTGGGAAAAACCCTCGGCCTATTCCGAGTTTAAAGATGATTTAGATTCAAATAACACTTATAAGAAGGAAAGGATTATTTTATTCTTATTTTCATCATAAGTTAACTATCAATTATATTAATTATAAGCTACCCATCAGGTAACTTATATCATAAAAGTAAGAAAAAAAATAATTCTTTCCTTGTTATAAGTGTTGTTTGAATGCGTTAATCATCTGTAAACTCGGAACAGGCTGAGATTTATCCTCGATGTTTTTATAGTTTTATATTAAAATTTCCGACCCGATTGAATAATTTTTTAAACTTTCATTAATTTTATGAGATCCTTCTACGACGTGTTTGACCGATGAATGCAACCGTATCTATTTCTGGACTGGCTATTTAAAACAATTAACCAAGAATATGATTAATAAATGAAGAAAATTCTAAAGTATAACGCATAATTTGTAAAGAAGCTATTTATTACGTTTTGTTACAAGGGAAAGGAAAAGTTGAACAAATTACATTTTACATTTTTTATACAAGTTTTTATTTTTGTTAATAAAATAATCATTCTTCAGCATATAAATAAATACTTTATTTCAAATTAAAATTCAATACATACAGAATTTATAGTGAACAATAAACAATTTCTGAATTTAATTTTTTTTTATTTTTTAAATTAGGAAATATATTATTAGTTATTGAGGCAATTTTCAATTTGATATAACTTTTAATTAATAATTTAATATTATTCCACTTAATAATCGTAATGCAATGTTGACAGATATGATATTTTAATAGTAGTTATACCATTTTATATTATTTCTCGGAATACAATTACCTTCGAAACAAATCTGTAATATTTAAAATGTACGCAAATGAAATAAAAAAAATGAAAAAATATATAGGCCTATAATTTATTTACGTGTGAAATTATTTTAATATATTACTTATATCAATAAGGATCGTCAGTTACTGTATCAAAGTATAATAATGCAGTGTGTCAGTATACTAGTTTCATTTTATAAAATAATTTAGGCCTTATTCCAGCGTTTCTCAACCTCTTTAAGCCCAAGAACCAGTAAAATGTCTGAAAAATTCTACGGACCACTAAGTTATGTAGGCCTAACTTTTTTTAAACTTATGTTGGTATTACCAACATTTGGGACATACTGTGCCATTTTTAACGTAATAAATCTAAAAGCAAGTTTTTAATACATGTGGAAACATAATTAGTTAAATTGGAAGTAAACTGTTAAAAGTGAATCATCGCTAAACAAAGTTTTAATCTTGATAAACAAATAAATATGACATAATTAGTTACCACTTACATTTAAGTCTGCCTGCGGTCCACCTGTACCAAGAAGCGAACCACTGGTTGAGAAACGCTGCCTTATTATGATCTACCCTTTTGTAAAGCATTTTTAAAATCGTGAAATAAATAAATAGACTTCAGTTTTATTAAATATTAATTAATAAAGTTGTTACTACTAATTAACTTTTCTCTTACGTCTACATATCACGCTACGGATGCGTTAATAGCAGTCTTATAACTTAAAATTTAGTAAAAAAAAAAAGAAAATATTTTTCTTCGACGGTTGTAAACTTTGTAATGTCTAGAACAATATACTGTAGCCTATATTTTATAAAGATATCCTAAATACATAAAAACAAATATGAGTATATGTGTAAAATTACCTTATTGGAACCGCATTCGCTTCCGTCTAAAGCAGGATGTGATGATATCCTCCATTTTTTATTCATACACCATAACAAACTACAAATATCCTATAATATTTTATTACTTACTTTTTATGGAAGTGCTACTCTGATTTACATTCACATGAATTAAAAATATATAACAACTTACATCAGACGAATTCTCAACAAATGGAAAAGAATCTTTTCCTGTAGACAAATGGCATTGAGCTTTAGGAGGATATTTTTCTCCAGGAAATTGATTTTCTTTTTTCAAATAATTTCGGCGAGTGGATGTTTTCCGTAAACATTTTGAAGTTTTTGTTCTGAAAAAATGTATTTACGTGTATTATTTTTATAGAAAAGTAAGGAAACCATTACTAATGAAACTAACCTCAGAAAATCTCTTAAATATTTATTACTACACTTGGACCATTTCGTTTTTCCGCCTCCAATTGATGGTGACATAATATACTTTTCTGGATCGCATGAGTTTCCTACGCCGTCATGTTTCATAGATAAACTTTAAGTAAAAACCAAAATCATAAATAAATTCTATTAAAATATATCTAATGAAATTTAACGGTATGATATTTCTATACCTATGTCCAATTTCGTGCGCTAATATTAAGCTAGCATCAAACTGAAAGCCTTCTGCTATAACGCAAGCACTCTCTGTACACATTTGATTACTATATGCTAAACCTAGGAAGAAGAAACCAACAGTTATATTTTATAATTATACCTTATTGATAAAGATTGTATATGTTTTTATCTCCAGGTATTAAAAACTTCTGGTTTAAAAAATATATAGCTTTTTCAAATACTATTTAAGCCTATTATGACGAGAAACTTATTTCTTTAAGAACTTAGTATTTATGGAGGACGAATTTTAAAATTATACAGAAATAATACAAAAATTATTAATTGGTGTTTTGTCATCAATATTTTATATTCCAACAAAACAAAAAGTTATATAAGGAAAATACTGGTAATATGTATTATATTTTTATATCTTAAAATTGTTTAGATTAAATTACTCTTATAATTTAATGTAGATTTTACATTAATTGAATTATTTTAAAACATTTACATGCTGATTAACTACAGATTACGATATTGTACAATATGTAAACTGAGAAAACAATTTTATTATTAAAGTTCAAAATAATTTACTTTATTAAGATCACCTTAAGTGATAAATGCATTAAATTGCCGCGCCGAGAGAATAGGCTGGAATCCGGATCAGCTTAGAAATTTGTATAGGTGGATTAATGCAGATATATCAGCCTAGTCTCACAGAATCTGGCCAGGCCTTGCCGAAACCGTGATTGTAGAAAAAGATCCTCTTAAGCAGCGACTCTACAGACGTAAAAAGAGTGTCGAAACTGAAGACAGAAACAGAAAGTAGAAAAATTTTTCGGTTTACATCGACCGAAACTTGGCTGAAAAGTGAGTTGAGAAAAGTTTAACTTTTCAACATCGCGTAACGTGTCTGTTTTGCATCAACCAATGAGTACACAACAAAATAATATGTCCCTAGGCCACGTGTAGTTACGTCAGTTCCAACGTGCAGTGGAAAATTTAACATGGAGAAGCGTGACACCAATTTATAGACTTTGTAGAAGTAAGGAAATACTGTATTTCTCATACACTAAACCGGATCCAAGTTATAAGAATGTTATACAGTACTGTATTACAAAATACTGTTTTTAAAACTGTTTGATTAGGTACAAAAGCAAAGTTTTCATTGAAAAATAGTTCGTGGTAAATTATTTTCGATTCGACTGGTTTGAATTATAACCTTATTATAATGTTATCATTCAAACCAGTTATTATTTTAAACATTAAAAGGATTATTATTATATTTATTAAAAGTATGGAAAATGTAGTAAAAAAAATGAAAATCACAGAGGGATGAGAGGGAAAAATATGTAAAAGCGTATCTAGTGGTCGTAGTAAGTTAGTTCGGACAACAATTTTCAAAGCTAAAATATTAGAAAAAAGATTTCGAAACATTTTAATGATATGTGTATTAATTTTGAGAAACAAAGTCAATGTCCATCTATATCCCTGTTTTTTTTACAATCTTGATGTACTGTAAATAACGATAAGCAATCGCATAAATATCGTCCGTATTGGATTTCAATTACTTTTCTTCCCACTAGAGTGCGTTAATTTTTTTTGTATGTGGAATTCTACCATAGGGCCCACCAGCAGCCAAGTGGTTCCGTTCCCTGAACACTGGGAGTTCGGTCGTGGGTTCGCTCCTCTCCAGGACCTCTGAGTTTTCTATATGTCTATAACGCCTGAATAGGGTCCAGTTACACTTAAAAGTCTTCTCGGAAGGCATTATTCCCCGCGTAACGACCATCATAAACACATACAATTATTATTACATACAATTACGTCACACTTTACCGCGGGGCGATATAGCTTAGAAGCTCATGCCCAACTAGCTGACACAAGACAAGATTCTACCAGAGAAAACTGAAACTAGTTAGAATGTAAAATAGCTGGCGATTTTTGTTTCTGTGTTCTGTTAAAGATTTTACTCCTATTGAGTCACGGTTTAGTCATCATAAACTTTCTATATTGTATAATTAAACCCTTAAATATTTTATACTATAAAAATATGCAAATAGAAAACAAAAATTAATAAGGTTTCATTTTCTAAATGCAGTATATATTAATTTTGATATTATATTATGTACGCAAATGAAATAAAAAAAATGAAAAAATNGTATATATCAAACCTAAAATAATAATCAAAATGAAAACATTTAGCATTTAAAAAAATATATATTTGTATTAGATACGAAATTGAAACATACGGATAAATATTTGATGTAAGACCCATATTAATAAAATATTTGTTTTTTAATTATATTTTTTGAAATGAAAACAGAAATAAAGTAGATTAAAAAAAAGTTTTATGTTTATTTCTTCTTCCTTTTTTTACCAATAATTCATACATAATAAATATTATTTTTAATTTTCAAAATTACTATTTACTTGCATTAGAGATGAATTAATATTTTATAAATTGAAAAAAAAAATTAGATTGAAAAATCTAGTTTTGTGCTAGAATATATGATACTGTCTGAGTATAATTAGTATACAGTATAAGATGATAAAATTTTTATGTATTTAAAAATTATAAAGAACGATTATTTTATCACATACCTTCTATATAACTATGCTTGAATAATAGGTAAAAAATTAAAATAATAATAATAATAATAATAACCATTTGTCGAACTTTATTTGTCTCTGTAAGAAGACTTTTAAATTACTGTTCAGTTCTAGTTCTTTTATTAAAGTGTATTGACATTGACTATAAATTGCAAATGATCATTTTGCTTCTGCTGATTTGTTTACTTTTATTTTTAATAAAATACGCATAAAATAAAATGACAAAATAAAGTAATTTTCAAATTTATTTTATACTATAGACTATATATTTTTTTCCTTTTTGGCCGTGGAGGCACTAATATGGGCTTTTAATTATGCTTATCATGGGTTCGGTCAGTTTCACAATGAGATGACCGAGTGATGACGGATGATGTTCATCATATTCAGGACCATTCCGAAAATTCGTGGTTTTGACTCTTTTTCAGGTCCGCACAGCAGTAGACTGACACCTTAATCGCTCGGCCATCCAGCCATCTATTTTAGATTATTAGAATACGCAATAAAAGAACATTTAAATTTGTCTCAAGAATAGATGTAAGAGAGATATAAGTATAAATCTTAACCAAATGACAGCTTCATTATCAGAAACAGTTAAAATGGATAAAGATAGAAAAACAAACTTTCAAATCAAAGTATTCATAAAAATATTTGCCACTGTTTTCTTAATTTGTTTATACGAAACCAGTTCTATCTTAAATGTTAATTTCTGACTTTACTTATTAGATTAGAAATAATCTAATAAACAAAATAACAGATTTTAAGTAAGGTCCATTTAGTAAATAAACAAATTTAATTATATTATTAAGTATTATGAATTAAATTACCTAAATTTTTGCTAACGATGTAGTGGTCTATGACATTTTTAATAGCTTGAATCTTTCATAATAATATAAAAGCTCTCACAAGTCAGTCTAAATTCAGTATGTACATAATCATTTAAATCTAAAAAGTTATTTTGAAGATTTTACATTTTTAATTCGTTAAAATACAGATTCCTTTATTCTTCGTCATTTTTATTGCTAATGAAAGCATCCATATAAAAACTTTTTAATTTTAAATTAAGCAAAATTCAGAATGATTAATTTTATATTATTAAAATACCTCTTTACCCAGTTAATAGAATTGCAAGATCCCATTTCGTATTACTTTCCTTCTTTTTGTCATTTTGCCATTTACAAAACTCTTTTAAATATTTTCCTGCATCAACTTTTCTTGAAATTTGCTAAAAAAATATTACTTATACTTAGAGATTTAAAATTTCTAATCAATTATAAACAAGAAATTTAGTACGTATCGTAGATATTTCTTAATACCAACGATACATACCAAATTAGAAAATAAAATCATCAATAAAAATTAAATCTAAAAACTAATATTTTATCGTTAGTGGAAAGATAAATTAATCTTACTTTTGATATTGTAAAAAATTAAATTCGGCAAATCATAAAATTTTTGGCAATTCACTGACTTAAAATATTTTTGAAATTTTAGTTATTTAAACTGCTTGAGTTGGTACGAATCATATATTGTGAAAAAACTGAGAAATAATATAATATAATATATATAATTTAATCGGAAAGAAAATAAACAAATATATGCTTATGCATTCATATTATACTAATAGACAAAATAAGTTACGCAGCTAGATACAGTTGGATTATTGCAAAACTTGGCACAGCTATTTCAGAGACAGGTATGAAATTATTACAGTTGTGATTCAGTTTGTCAGATAATGCCATCAGAATGCTTTAAAATTGCTACCCCAGTATCCCATAAAATGGTTCAGAGAATCGCTTTGTTCAGAATTTTCAGTGTACAGTACCTGATATCTGAAGTTCTTCGAATGACAGGCGTCTGTCCTATACAGTCGGGTTGGAGAAAGGAGGACGGCCATTTCGTCAAATTGCTTGCTATCTGCGCTGTTTATTTATTTTTTTTCTGAGTGTGAAAAGGTGTTGGGGAAGTGGATAAGTGAAGGAACACATACATGGCCACACGCTTGATGCTCCAGACAGATCACAAGGAAAGAGGATCAACTGAACATGAGACAAGCACGAACAGCTGCAACGACGTATTTATCCGCCATTCAGATTCAATTAGAAGTTTCACTACAGGTTCCTGTCTCTTCCCGCATCATTAGCAGACGACTAGCAGAGGCAAATTTGTAGTAGGGTAACTGCAATACTATCATTAACACCGAATATCGTCGGCTTTTTTTGCAGTGAGGTGTCGTGACAGGGAAGCTTGGACTGCTAAGGACTGTCAGCGTATCGTCTTTAATAATCAACCCTGGTTCTGTTCGGGAACGAACGACCATCGCTTTAGTGTGGAAGATCATTGGTGAGCACTTTAATCTCGTCTTTACTATTAAGTGGCACACTATCATTTCTGGCATGCTAGTCTGGGGAACCATTTCGTATGACAGTCATCTCTAGTAGTAGTGCGAGGGACATTTACGGCACAGCTGTACGTTTATAATTAGAATTTATATTTATAATTAGAATTTATATTTATATTTATAAATATTACTGTAAATTTACAATTTGTAATATAGAGATATTCACTTATTAAGTATAAAAAAGTTAATTTTTTGGATATATTCATTCTATAAACAAACAAATGCAACAATCACATGATATTTCACTTTAACTAAAATATACATAAATATTTTCAATAATTATAAATTTATTTTAATTACACTTAATTAAAATATCTAATTATTTTATTGCTTTATTCAAATAAAAAAATAAATGTTAGTTAATTTCATTTTTAACGTAAACATTTTAAAATTGAACATTATCTCTTAATGAAATACAGTTAAATGAGTAGAATAATTAAATCTTTTAATAAAATAAATTTAAAATAGATATAAAATAAATACTTTATTGAGGAAACAATCCAAAGTAATTTTGTATTAAAAAGTAATGTATTAACATTGTATTTTTTAACGGAAATGTTTGTTACATTTCACCTGTAAATATTTGTAATAAATCAAAGATATAAACCTATTATACAATATCCCCTATTTTAAATAAAAACATTTATAAAACTATAATTATATATTTTCGTTTGATGTAAGTACCAATTTGTTCCCTATAAACATATATATTATTAAATATAACTCAAAATACTATATATTTTGTTTCGTAATATTAATTTATTTACCTTGCGATAGTTCAACTTATTTAATTCAACTATCGTGATACGTATTGGAAAATTTAAACTTCCATATTTGAAGACGAGTTGCATCTATAAACGTATAATATAAAATAAAGTTTATGATAAATTTGAGAAAGCTAATTGATAATTATTAATTTTACCTGATTTAATATACTTAATACAACAGCATTAGTTTTGAATGATTTCTCTGTATAATGATGTTTTAGCTTTTCATCAATGAAAACAGCTGTTTCTATTGTATATTTCTTCACTGATCTTTTATTTCTATTTAAAATTTTATTTTTTGTTATTATTTCTCTTCCTGTAGATAATTCAAAAGTAAGTTATTTGTTTATAAATTTTAAAATGTGTGAATATTGAAAATATATTTAAGTGTTTTAATTCGAAAATAATTACCAGATTCATTACTTCCACATATATCTGTTTCAGTTCGTAAAACTTTTGACAATATATGAGGAATAGGATTCTTTTGGTTTGCTGATAATTTTATATCTGTTCTTACTACAGAAAGAGGCTTGATGAAATAAGTTTCTTCGGTTAACATCAATGTTCCATGCTAGAAAATTTAATGGTTTGAATATTTTAAAGCTGATAACTTAAAAAGGTGAGAATTATTGAAGTAACTGTCATGAGTACTGTGGATTAAATTCTCACCAAGATTCCATCTCCATGACAAATAGAAATGGCGGCCATTCCTCCTTTGTGAGATACAATTGGCCCTTGAAATAGGCAAGGAGCGTTGGAATGATTAAAAATGTCGGATTCTTCAAAATTATTTGACAAAAGATTATAGTTCGGATATAACTCCACATAATATACAGCCTTTCTCGTCTTAATAATAACTAATTTTTCGTGTTCATTGCTAGAAATATCCGTTTCGTTTCTTGGCATAGAATAGATTACGGGATAAAATGTGTCACCTATAAATAATACAATTAAACATAAATTTAGAGCATTTGTTAACATTTAATCAAAAAATAGAATATATTATATATCTTAATAATCTTTTCATATTATTATTACAGCTCTTTCCTGAAATTTATGTTACGAATAAGAAGCGAAAAACGTAAATGTATATCGTAATTATAAGTAGGTTTTAAAATTTTGGAATATCATTTATCAATGTTATGTACAAAAGTAAATGATTAATGCAACGTCATTAGATTATTATGGAAGTTGAATAAGAACGATATCAGATTATTTTTCACATAATACGATAATATATACGTTTATATATTTATATTATATTATATGTACAGAAGAGCCCAAAAAATATATACACACTTCAATACTGGCTATGCCTTTTTTTTTTTTAAATCCGAATTGAATTATGGCGGCAACGTATAATATTGTGTTGTCTCTAAAGATGTCATTTATCTCACGAGTGCTAAAGGCATCATGTGGTCATCATGAGAGTCAAACAAAATGATAGAAGCACGCTTGACTTTGGAGCAACGCAATTCCAATATCACTTACTTTGAACTGGTATTAAAAATTGAGAAATGTTTGCGAAGTACAGTACAACAATAGCGGTGTGAATTTGGAACAAAACCACCAACACACCTGACAATCGCACGAATTCTTAATAAATTTGAAACTGTGGCATCGTGTTTGACGTGCACAAGCAGATATCTGGGAGACGTCCTTCGCCTTCGGATATTATGCGCCTAATGTGATTGCAGAAGTCAAGCATGACTTACAGTTATCCTTTGATGTCTATATAAATATAATAATTAGCTTTAATGCAGATATTTTTCACGTTGAATTGTGTGATTTTTTGGGCTTTCCGTATAAAACAATAAATTTATTGTTAACTCTCATTTGATTACATCAATCTAATTACTACATTCTGCTTTTTTTATCGCGAGAGATATTCTCAAATAATTAGTACAGCTGTCCCTTGATAGTCCGACGTTTTGTAATCCGACATGCTCAGTAGTCCGACGTACCTCCCGTCAAGGTACCGTCCCCGTTACGTGTCTGCTTGCATAGAAGCATGTCGCGACGTGAATCTCCTCGCCCAATTCTTACAGGATGACACACATTTCGTGTGCTTTCCGTTAGCAGTTCTGTTCGAACAGTTGGAGTAGGGAATATTGTAGGCTACTGCTAGCAAAACAACGCCAAATATGTAATCACTTTCGGTAATCCAGACACTTTTGGTAATCCGACACCCTTTGGTCCCATACCTGTCGGATTATCAAAGGCCAGCTGTATTATTATTTATAACTGTAAGAAATTGATATTAGTTTTAACTTTTTATGTTTTTATTATAATTTTAAATTAATTTTTCTATTATGGATTTTTAGAAATATGTTTCTCTTATTTAATTTTCCGTTATCTATTTATATCTATATAAATTCATTTCCGTCCCTAACTTAAGTTCTGTTTATATTATATAAGTTTTCTCATGTATAAGAAGAAATACACGAGAAAACTTATGTTCACTATTGGACTAAAGAAAGATGATTATATATTACAAATACAAAAAATCAAAATAACATCACAAAAAATTTTCATCAACTTTTCTAATATAGAAAATAATAGATTATTTTAACACTAAAATTATTCGTAACTATTGTGCATGGAAAATTTTATAGTCGGATCGACTTTGGAGTTATATAGTTTTTAATTATTATAGTTTAATGACACAAAAGTGCCGCTTGGTTCTGCAGAGCACTACCAGGATTGTATAGTTAGGAATGGAAATGCATATACTGTATATAAGTTTATATATATTTATATATATAAACTTGATAAACTTATATATAAGTTTAAGCTAATTGATTTTTATTCATGTTATATATGTAAACTGGTATTTGATTTTGTATTTATATTTACTCTAAGTTATCACAATTAAAATTTAATATTTTAATGATAAACAGCAAGAAAATATAATTAAAACTCACCTAAAGTTACATTGTTTTCTTTTGATGTAACTAAATTTTCCTCCCAAAGAATCTTTTTTTTTTTTGGAAAATTATGTAAAATAAATTTACTTTAAAAATTAATTAATATCAATTTTTAATTTTAAATTAACAATCATTCAGTTTTCTAACATCGTATTATTTCAGAAATAAAACATAATACTAATAATTTGTAGTCGAGCGATTTTCAATATTAAATTATATTAAAACTTCAAAATAAATTTAAAAAATAATTATTAAATGACACTATATAATAAAATTTAAGATAATATAAATAACTAATGAAATGCAATATGAATGTTCGTTATATTGTAACAAAAGTCTATGATAAAATTATTTTATAATGTATTTTTAATGTTATTTCGAAAGATGCTAAAATTAAATATCATACCTGTAAAATATAAATGAATAGCAAGAAATTGAACTTCATATCAGCAGTGTATGTGATAACTTTGATTATATTCATATGTATTTATAGATAAATTTGTAGGAAATAAATTACATTTCCTGTAGGAAAAGATGATAGGAAGCTTCCAGTTATGGTTAACAGTACGCTTTTATTTATTTTTAACTAAATAAAGTAGTTATTTGTGATTTATATATGCATTTAAAAAAGTTCATTTTTTCTTTAAAACTTCTTATAAATAAAGCAATTTTCTAATCTACTGTGTTAATATACTCTAACCTACTTAATTCTTAACTGAATGTGAATTTTTAAATGTTTTATAAATATAAATTTATATGTTATTTTATTCTATTTTCATGTTATTATATTTAAAATAATTATTTTTTAAATAAATATATTTGAAATATTTAATAAGTTCTGCGTAACGTTATATCTACTGTGACCTTTACAAATTGTTAATTTCTCAGTAACATCGCTTCATTAATATAACATTAAAATTCTTTGAAGAACTCAAAACGGATTTTTCAAATTATTTTCTGAGTAAGTCAATGTTCTAATAAATAAACATATGAAATAACCAAGCATCAAATGTTTATGTTTTTGAATAAAAACTAAATATAATTGTTTAGTTTTCAATATAGTTTCGAAGACGTTATTACTGTTTTGTAGTTTTTATATCTATTTTTTTTCCTTTCAGCATAACAAACTACAGTCAAAGGCCAAGGAATCAGGCTTCCCATTAAGAAATTTGAGAGACTGGAGTAAAACAAAAATTATATATTTTTAACTGTCAAGTTTACACTACATGTGAATTAATTACAGTAAAACCTAGCTATGTTAAACACCTGTGATGGCAAAAATCGAGTGTCCAAAGTTAGCGGGGTGTCCAGGTTAGGAAGATTAGCGTTACTGCAGATCTACACGTATAGCACATTTACTGCACATATTTTTTGTTAAATATAATGAAAAAAGCATCGGTTTTAATGTTATCACAAAATTTATTTACACCGAAAATGCATGTTAATACAATACTGTACATTAAATCAGTTTGTAAGTTATGAGTTGTAATGTCTTGCCTACATGCACATAGTATTAATTATGCCAATATGACTTTCATAGAAACATAGTGATATGCTGCAATTGAGTACTGTACATTGCTTAAGATCGCATTAACATCTGGAAAAACAATCTGCTTACTTAAAGATATTCATTTGTAAAGTAAACACGCGGTGTTTATTTTTCCAAAAAATTATGTTATGTGGGATTGATGTAGATATCTCACTTTAAACTTTCTCGGTTCCTTTTCTGTTTTTATCACAAAACTTTCTCCATAACATCAAGTTGACAATGTGCAAACACATAACATTCAAGTTCTGTAATTTGTACGAAGACAGACTGATGGTTTGATGCTTTCTGTTCTACTACTCCTGGACCTGGTTCCATATCATCATCTGATGCATCACTTGATGCAGCTTTATCATTTCTTCATGTTTGTGCAATAATATTTTTAAGAATACTTCCTGAATTATCACTGAAACATTGGAATCATCTCTGAAATAGCTTGTTGACCAGTGGTTTTTTAACCAGCGGTCCTTAAAAAATTTTCAGGGATTCGTTGTCTTGGAAGCATAAAAATTAACTGTCAAATTAATCTAAATTTTGTGTTATTGTGTGAAATTGTTGATTATTGTATTAAGAAAAAATACATATGTTACTATATCATATGTTTTTATTTTATTAAATATACAAGGTATTTCTATGTAACTGGTTTTCTTTGCAATTTTATTTAATGCATTTAAAAACATTATTCCGAGAAGAGGTTGATGATCTTCACCTGACTTCAAAAGGGGTCCATGGAACAAAAAGGTTAAGAACAGCTGGTCTAGACGCTTCTAGAAGTTATTTTCGTCAAGGGCACGCCCTGTAAGACATTTAAATAATTAAAGCATCAAGCCGGTGATCGGTTTCCGGCGATCAGCTATATATATGCTCTGTAGGATTTTAAAGGTTAAGCGATCTTGTACTGTAATGGCCTGCATATCTTTTGTAATGAAACTTTTTGTGTGTGAACAACTACACAGACGCTATATTATTCTTGTATCTGTTTTTCTCCAAATCGCTTCAGTTTACAATAACAATCACCACCCAGTACCATCTATTATACAAAAACAGATACGTTTATTTTGTAACACTTAGTCAATAAAATATATCAATGATAGTAACAAAAATTATTATTAACAATTTTTTTGTAGCATATAAGTGAAAAATGCTTTCTGTTAAATTACGTATAAATAAATAAATAAATAAAAGATATGACAATCGATTATATTAAACGTCACTAATTTAATGCAGATATCGTCAATATCATAAAATAAACACTATGAAAACCTTTTAGCAGCAAGGAAATTAACTGTTGAAAATGTTCGCATTAATTAAAGGTAACGGTTTATTCTCATACTGCTCAAAGGTTTCTAAAAGGATATTCTAAATTTTTCAATTAAAATTTTAATATACAATTTTTGCATCAATCGCTTTGCACACGGCGGAGATCGCGGGGATGTATCCTCCACTTCAACTTTTCACTTCCTCCGAGAGCACTTACTGTATATGAAGTATAGCTGTTAGTGTAGTTATGTCAACATTAACATGTTTCTAGCAAATTATTAGAAAAAGAATGTTGATAAAATTTACCTTTAATTTGCTTTGATTTTACTAAATTTGAAAAATCAACAACAGAATTCTCATATCTGAAAATTTCTGTTGGTTCCAGATATCCGTAAAGTTCAAAATCGCACCTTTCCATTTTCGAAAAATTCTGACTCCAGACATTGTTCCAGCACTTGTGCTGTCGGTGAGTAATACTAAAGTTCTAAATACGGTTGATGGTTACACATATTAGAGGTTGCGGCCGTCATATTCAGCCCAAAACGTGAACGGCGGACGGTCGAGCGCCGCCATCTGGCAATTCTAGGCGGTCGATAATGGCGTTCACTACGTCAGAGTCGGTAGATTAACTGGTCTTTCGACTAATAGTTCAAACTTAGCTAGAGACAATATTTGCCGCTAGTCGGCGCCACTGTTAGCAGGAGATCGTTGTTCTTGCTAGGTATATACTGAAGTCAGTGATTTTGACCTATAATAATTGTTTTTTTAGCTCCATAAAAATGCCAACGTGCTTTGTGCCAGGATGCAAGGCAGGATATAAGTCATCGAACGAGAAGAGACATTTCTTCCGTGCTCCTAGCGATAAGATTGAGGAGTGGATGCGATGCATTCCACGAGACGACA